CGCAATACCTGTACGGTCAACTGCCACGGTCGACCGTGACGTAGTTTGACTGTTTCCTAAACTGTTTTGGATTCTGTTTCTACCGGGACTCTATATATACCTTAAATGTTTTTAGGGTTTATACAACATGAAAAAAGAGAGTTTTTGACTGCAGAAAGAGAGAGAATCTCAGAGAGATTAAACCCTAGTTTGAGAGCTTGTATTTCTTCTTTAATTAATAAAGAAATTATGTGGTGTGGCTCCCGAGGACGTAGGCACGTTGCCGAACCTCGTTAAATCTGCGTGTTCGTCTCCTTTACTAGTTTTGCAAGGTTAGATCTTTATTTATGGTATTACTCCTACTTTTCTACTTTCAACACAAGGTCCGGAAGGGTAAGGATTCGATTGATTGTTTCGAATCCCCAACAGTTAGTACATCATGAGAAACATTAACATGCCGTACGAAGTTAGATTTTAATAAACAATTGTACTTAGATGAAAAAATATCAAACTATACTTATCCAAAAACCAAAATATATAGTAAAATGTCATATATTACGCAAATAGCTTTCCCAAACATATTGGATCGCCAAAAACAAAAACCAGGTTAGGGTTCGGTTAAAAAATGTTAAATTAAATCTGACAGTGTAGATTAATTTGTCTTCTAATCGATGGTTTGGAGGCAAATTTCAATGATCCAAGAGTTGATTCCTAGATTTTGGAATGTTCTGAACGGGATGGGAGGGTTTGATTTCTTAGATTTTGTCAGATTAGTCAGAAAGTGCTGATAGGTTCTGTTGATGGTACGAAGACAGATCTGATGGTAGATACGGCAAACGCGTATGCAACGGGTGAGACTGATATAGAGAATCAAATGTGATTCTATCAGTAGATATGTTAACATATAATTATTCAGTCATTGGGGGGCAGGAGTTGGTTAGTACATAAACTCAAGGAGGATAGTGTCTAGGTGGAGCTTACAAGCATACATAGAAATGGAGACGATGGCATTAGACTTGATGATGATGAGCGTTCATTTTTGGTCCAAGCTAAGTGATGGATGAGATAGAGACATCCGACTCATGGTGTGGAGTAAGAGAGGTGGATTGATATGATTCAAGACGAGCGATGTAGGTGGAGCACATGGATAATAAGCGGAGGAGGGCTATTGTCACGCTCAAGTCAGGAGGAGAACCATGTTGATTTGCTTCTAATGTTAGAGGTGGCGGATTTGTGGTGCGCTTAAGAGAGGTGGAAGCATCACGACAAGGCTGATGAAAGTACGGGTCGTAGACGCATCAAAGTTAGAGTATAAGTGTTCTGATTAGGAGTGTGTATGCTTCAGATTGAAGTACAAAAGAAATAGAAGACTCTAGCAGGAGAGACAAAGTTTCAATATGGCAATGGTAGATTATTAAGGTTGCTTGGGAATCAAATCCAATGTGGAGATTGTTAGGATTGTATCTTTGATTCTTTATATAACTTCATGAGAATTAGATAGGGCTAGAGATCTATTATGATAAGGGAGATTGGATCTCATCATGATTAGGAGTTTGAATCATATTCTAATTAGTAAGATAGGCTAGAGATAGGGTTTTGGTTTCCCTATACATATTCTTCTATTATAGGAGGAAAAACCAAGGAAAGGAGAGAGCCATTATTCGTGTAATCTAGGGTAAGCAGAGAGGGTAGTCTGATTCAAGTTTATTGTACAAGAGGTGAGAGTTTTGTAGTTTTTATCCGTGTAATAGATAATAATATTTGGAGAGGATTTCACAGCCTTTGTCCTTCCAAAAAAATTGTAAGGAGTGAGTTTTGTAGAGAATATGAAACTTGATTATGTATGTGAGGTTGAGAGATTAAGAGACGAAAGTTGATGGTTCATCTTGTGGTTCTTTCTGATATATAGTGGATTTCTACTATTGTTGCTGCGTGGATGTAAATAGAATTGGTCGACCGAACCACGTAAATCTTGGTATTCTTTGTTCTTGATTATGGTTGTTATCTATCTTGTTGATCATGGGTTGACTTCCGAGTTATGAAGATCATAATGTGCGGGTAGACTAAATTCTCCAGCAGAATGATATTCAACAATCGATTCGTGATCTTTCATATTCACTATGTTATGTAAAATTGGACATTCTTTATCTTATCAACTCCTTGATTGGTTTTTAGTAGAAGCATCCATTCTTCTTTTTACGTTCTCACCATAGAAAGAATCTCGAATATTGCATCCTCCACACCTTGGTAGATGGTGAAGAGAGCTTTATTATCCTTCTTTCTTGAATTCTTGAATTGATCCTTCAATTCTTTTGTCATAGACATCTCTTCTTCTGGTGTCTCTGACTCTTTATAGTCATCTACCACAAGCTCTCAAACATCCATGCGAATTTGATTGGTGGTGAAAAAATAGGCCTAATTGCACTTTTTGTTGACTTTTAATAGCATAAAGTCTTCGAAAAAACTTTCTGTACCAAACCGATTAATGGGGGTTATAAAACATACCAATTTGATAATTTATCCTAAGTATTATTATCAAAACTTTTAACGGAGAAATAAAAGAGGTATAGTATTTTTTTTGTTTGGTGGGGGGTGGGGGGTGGGGGGATGTTCTGGCGAACTGATGAATTGAAAATATAAAAGTCACTTTTTTGAAGTGAGAAAATACATCCACGTCAGCAAAAAGTAAATACATTATTTATTTACAAAAATAAAGATGATGTTGCAATACTATATTACATTATATTATTTATTTATTAAAAATTTTACTATATTTTCAATTATCTTTTGATAACTAGGCAAATAAAAGTTGCTTGTTTAATTGTGTACACAGCAAAATTAAATTCCTTGATAAAACTATATTTATCTTATCATCCATGGCTCATATTGATTGTTTTGCTCATATTAATTTTTATAAATTTTTCTATGTTTGGGATATTGTTATCTAGGAACTTCAATAATTTGAGGACAAATTTAAAATAGCAAAGATACAAGGGACTAATATAGAGAAATTACAAATATTAAACTAATCTTCCAAAGCCCAGAGAGCAAAAAAGATCGCTTACTGAAAGGGATTATTAGTGAAAAAAAATGTTTCATATAAATATATTTTTAATTATTTAAAGTTGTCCCAATTCCACTCTCATGTGAGATCGTCACTTTTTTAGGGGAAATACAACATGCATTAAATTCTATGTGGCACAATTTTTGCATTTTACTTTCACATGCACTACCGGTAAAACAAACACTTGAATTAATGAAAGGGCCGGGATCACTTTCTCGCTTTCATTTTTCACTTTCTTACTTTCATTTAACAAGAGTTATGAGGACTAAGTTGCGAAAACTAAATGAGGGGACCAATTTGATTATGAAGCTATGGTACAGAGGCGAAATCGGCCTTCTAGGCATTCTTTTTTTTTTTTTTGAGAGAAGCCTTCTAGGCATTCTACCTTCTAGGCATTCTTTTTTTTTTTTTTTTGAGAGAAGCCTTCTAGGCATTCTATTTGCTTTGTTATTGTATAGTTTGCACTCCTATCCTACAGATTTCATGAGATTTCTTAGCTAGTAATTAATACTAAGAATTACTATCATCACCAAATTTTCAATAATAATTCCGAATCAATATGCTACGCCCCTCCTAATTAAGATACGATTCCTACCTTTGCTCGGGCTTTGAGGTCTATATAACTAGAATTCTTATGTTCCCTCTCAAAAGCTTTTGTCAATCCAATCCGGTGCAATCCAATGGAGGACAAAGAAATCAGCGAATCCATCCGCGTGTTCGAAGAACTCTCGCTCACCGACGGCGACAGTAACCTGTCGGAGCTTCACCGCGACAGCGAATCGTCAACTCGGTCCTCTAGACGATGAACGGCAAACCGCAGACCCTCCACGATCGAAGGCGCGCGCACGTGGATCCGGCAAGCCTCTACTCTTCCACGTCATCACCGTCCTCACACGCAGCACCCCATCTCTCTCCCTCGGACACCGTCACAACCTCCAAGAAGCGCTCAACGCTCTTCTCCCTTTGCTGGGCCAAGATTTCATACGTGCTCATACACGCACCATAATCGATGCAATAACTCCTTTGCTAGCTTCTTCGGATTCCACTGATAATGAAATCGCAAGAAACATCGTGTCGAGCCTCACTGGCTCCGTCGGGTTGGACTTCATGACCGATCTCATCAATCCCGATATCTTCACCTGCAACGAGCAGCACAACAGCAGAGCCGTGCAAGTCTTGACTGCGGTCGCTTCGTCAGTTGGTACCGCTGCGCTCGTACCGTTTCTGGAGAGCGTCTGTTCAATCATGAATCCAGGCAGTGCTCGAGATGCGGGGTATAGGACTGTGAGGCAAATTGTTATGGTTAATAAAGACAGCGTAGTTCCTCACATGACTCCACTAGTGAATATCGCATTGAAGGAGATAGCCGCAGGATCAAACACTTGGAGTGTGGCATCTGCTGCCAGAGCTATCGACTCGCTTGCCCGGGCCGCGCACTCATACGGGGTTAATGATAATTTTAGCAAGGCGATGCCTGTGATTTTTCACTGTATGAGAAATCACTTTAACCGGCGGTGGACAAAATCCGCTGTGGCCTGCGCACAAGCAATCGGATCCATCATTGAGCTGACAGAGGAGCCAGACAAGAGTTTTTACGCTAAGGAACTGATGGAAACTGTTTGCCGCGAGAATTTTGGATCGGAGTCTTTGGACGAGGAGACGACAAGGGTTGTTATGGCGGTCTACAAGCAGTGTCTTGGTGCTAAAGAGGTCACTGGTTTGGATGTTATGGGATGGCTCAACAACGAGGGGTGCGTGTTCAAGTCACTTTGGGAAGGAGCCGGGAGTTGAAAACTTTCGTCGACCTTTTTGTTGAATGATAATGCTTAATGTCAGCTAAATTTGCTGTAAGCTTATGAGTACTCTCTAATAAAGAATAGTTGGGAGTACGTGCTACAACGAAAACAAAAATTTTTGTCCTTTGTCATTAAACAACTGTGATGCATGCCTGAATACCAGCAACTTTTGGTTAGGTTTATGTTAGTTGCGAGCCAATTGATTTATCATAGCCATAGCAGCAGACAATATCCAGGCTATTCAAATTAGCCCCAACACGTTCTCATGGCAAATCAATTGATTTACTTTCCTCCATAATTTGTGTTACCAAGAAATGGCAAATATGACATGTATCCATAATCTATAGACAATCAACATACCCACACAAAGTCTAAGAGAAAGTCGCATTCACTTGTTTGGTTTGAAGGAAAACCAAAAGAAAGTGATTATTAGATTCCCTGAAGAAAACCCCTCGTATAATTTTACTACAACAAATTGTACTTTTCCCAACGCTTATTCCCGACGCATGGTTAAATACGTCGCCAAAAATTATGTTTTTCCCGACGATTTTAGTTAGCGTCGGCAAAACATATATTTTTCCCCGCGTTTATAATTAGCGTCGCTAAAAGTGTATATTATTTGCGACGTTTTAACTTAGCGTCGGTAAAAGTGTATGGATTTCACGATGTTTTTATTTTCGTCGGTAAAAATATATATTTTTAGCGATGTTTTAGGGTTGGTGTCGCTAATAGTGTGCATTTATCGCGACGTGTTAGGTTAGCGTCGCTAAAAGTCTCTTTTTTGCAATTGACCATGCTTTTTTATTCATCTCCGTCGCCAAAAAAAACCCGTAACTTTTTACCCTACACGCACAAGGGAGGGAAAATTTCCCCCATTTATTTTCACGAAAAAGAGAAAAAAAACCAAAACCCCCTGTCCTCACTCGCTTCGGCCGCTCAGGCCTCATGACGGCTCCCTCTCCACTGCCCACTGTCGCCTCGAACTGTCGCCTCGACCACCTCTCCTCCCTCATCCTCGCCAACTAGAAGCAGGTTGAGTAATCGATCATCGATGAAGCTCATCGCCAATTACGACGGTGATCTGCTCATAACTTCTCAGATCCTCCGCATCTCCGTCCTCTTCTTGGTCACCGCCGCCGCCTTCTACCTCGGAAAGCACTTTTCCAACGGCGAATACCCTTAGTTCATCTTCTACAACTCCTCCGCTCCCACCACCACCTCCTCCGCGGCCGTCGCGGTCTCCTCCAACGCTAACCTCACCTTCAACATCTCTGATCTGAGCCCACTTCCTCCTCCACCAGTGAGGTACGGGGTCGTCGATGGGAATGGGACGATGAGTACCGACTTTGATTCTGTTGCAGTTATTGAACTGGATCAACTAGGTAATGTTTCTTTTCTTTGGTGAATTTTTTGGGTTGCGAATGAAAGCTCGAATTTGGTAGCTATGATTTCGAGAATTTGAACATCTAAGCTGTAATTTAGATCAAGAGATAGTAGAATGCCCCTCCATGCTAGATTAGATAGGATCCTTTATAAATAATTTGGAATTGGGCACAAAAATTTTCTGTGTGTAGTCAAAAGGTTTATGCTAGCCTTATATTAATGAGATCATGTTCCTGTGTGCTAGGAGGTTAAAGAAGACTTAAAAGTTTAAAATGAGTTTTAGGTTTGAAAAAAAGTTGGCTTCAATCTAAGGATTTTGAACTCTGTGTGCAGAATTGGTGGAATGCAGCTCCTAAGTGTAATTCAGAGATATGAAACTTTGTTAGAAAGTTGAATTTCCTGAGACTAAGGTTGAAAATGTTGTCAAAGGAATATTTTTATTAAAATAAAATACTCCCAATGCCGATATCTACTTGTAAAATAAAATGAGTACGAACCCTGTGCAAACATGATTCATTAAGAATAAACTGCTTTTTAATGGTGCGATTATAGCCCAAGAGATCATTAATGATTAATTGTCATCAAAATAAGAAATAAGAAAGGATCTTATTGGAACTTTGATTATGCAAAGACATGTGATGTGTTGGATTGGAATTTCATTTTTAGAGGTTCTAAAAGCAAAAGGGTTTGGGGAGGAATGGATGGAAATGTACTTATAGGGAGGAAAATATGTTATATATCTTGGTGACCTTTTATTGTTCAAGAATGTGCTTCTTGTCATTCACTAAGAGCATCAATTGTTTTGTATGCAGGTTTTGTGCCTAGACCTCTCATTCAGAGCACTTTGAGGAAGAAATCTTGAACCTTCAAAACACACTATTGAAGGTCAGTGATATCCTGCCTTGTTCTGATTTGGTTGTTCCCATCAAAACTGAGTAAGATAAATATTCTCCATTTGTTTTCATGTGTGGATAAACCAAATTCATCTTGAGGACACATGTTATATATATACGTAACATTGTACTTATTGCATTCTTTTTTCTCGTACCAAATAAGAGGCGTGTTACATGATGCCCAAGACCATTTTCTAGGAAATGTGGTACTGAGGTATGTATTTGTTTCGGCTGTTGGTGGTGGTGGTGGTGTGTGTATATCATAATAACCAACTCAGCATTCACAATAACCATAATTTTCTACACTTGGTTATCATAAAAACAGTGTTTTAAATTTGGCTGTCAGAAAGCATGAAGCTACTAGTGATGATGTTATTAATTGTCCAAATAAATTGCTTCAACAAAAGGTATCCACTCCAAATGAAGTATCTTATGTTGCATAATAGAACATTGAAACTTAAAATTCAGCAAAGATGGAAATTATATCTAGCAAGTGAACTTGTGCATTACATGTAATTTATTTGCATGAGGAATCCAGGCAACTTAATTTGCTACACTAAGAAAACTCATGAAACGGGGCCGAAGCTATGTTTGCTGACCTGGGCCACTTCAATGTTAGAGCCATTCAGGTAGTTGTGCTTTTATTCTTTGAATATAAAATCATGCGTTTCTTACCCTTCAACAAGTAATTTATAAATTGTTGAAGCTTCTATTACCTGTTACCTTGTATTTATGTAGTCGGACATAATACTATAACTACAACAAGCATGAGCTTACATAACAGTGAGATTTGTCTTAAAAATAAATTGGTTGTCAACTTAAAAACTAGAATCAACAAATGCAACCATAAAGCTGGAGTGAATTCCTTATTAATATTAAGTTATGAATCTTTGTTTGACTTAACTACTGCTACCTAACTCAATTTAAATCAAATTGATATCTATGTAGGTAATTTAAGGTTAACTCAATTAAAGTCAGCTGAGCGAGATGCTGAGGTCGTGGCTTTAAAGGAGACAATAGTTGTGCAAGCTGAACAGATTGCCTCACAAGCTGAGCAGATTGCCTCACAAGCCGAGCAGATGAACACACAAGCCGAGCAGATGAATGTACAAGCCTAGAAGACTGTTGATCTTGAGGTATTAGTGCATCAGCTATTTGCACGTAGCCAGCCTGGAGCGAGTGGTAGTAGTAGAGATTTCTCATCGAGATGAGGTTAGACTTGCATTTAATTTTTTCTTATTAGACTTATTTATGGTTTCTAGACATACACTATTAAATTTAATGCTAGCAATTTAAAATTTAAACATTGACTATTTAATTAAAGAACTGAAGGGTAGCAGCTATAATGATCAACTGATTATAAAATAGTCTGGAATTGTTTTTTCAATATAAATGATTTTAAATTTGACAAGAGACCATGAAGTATGCTCTATGCCAATAAACTTAGCATCGATATCTTTTTTCTCTAATAGTTAAATTAATCAAGAAATTTTTTTGTTCAACTGGAGGGATGAACGCAATTTATTTACGAACTTGGATACATAAGTACTGTTTCCAAATCCTCAAAGTAAATGCTATACCCCCTTCGTTCTATGAATTCTTTTATGTAATTGGATGTCGTAGAATTTGCCATTAAATTTACAATATATATAACTTGTCTTCTTAGTAGAAAACATTATTTTGTTTTCTTCTTTATCGAGACAATGAGGTGTTAGATTAAATACAAGAACAGTAACAGTGACTTGCCAGGATAAGCTCCTTAAACTCATACAAGAAACGTCATATTTATCAATAATAAATTAAGACATTGTTTTTTATATTTTTCTTCTGACTTTTATATCCAAGATATTTGTTAGATGATCTACCTTTCATGCTCATAACTATTACAGTATTTAAACTCCTTCATAGAGACAATGTAAGAAATTTGTGACATTAGTAAAGTTGACCGTAGACTAATGTTGTGAAATGACAAGTTTGCCATTATAGTTTAGGAAGACACTGAATATGGCAAGTTAAAATGCATGATTTGATGAGGCATGTGTGCTAGATTAGGCTTTTATGCTTAGATGCTCTTTGTCTTCAACTTGAATTGATGGAAATGGAAAATCACCATGATGGCTCTTTTAAAGAGAAGAACTTTTGAAACCCATGGTTGTTTATTCAAGATATTAGGGCTGGAGATAGATGAACAGGTGCTTCAGTTGTTACCTACGATATGACCAATATAACTCATGAACACATCAAGTCACGGATCTAATACATGTGCACTAAAATCTATTGTAAACTAAAATTTCTTAAAATCTAGAAATCACGACTGAAGATTATGATCATGTATATTAACTAGAATACATTCATCAAACAAAAAAAACTAGAATACAATTAATAGAATTCTAAATTATCTGATCAAACCATATATGATTTATGATTTGCAAATCGGAAGTTCTAAATATGAAGAAATGCACAATTCACAAAAGCTGCACAAAATTTATTTTTCTCATGTGTATGTTTTTGGTTTAATGAATATGATATGATATATGTACACCCAAAACATTTTATTGAATGTTTCAAATAAATTTAAAATTTTTTTATGCTGCTTTATTCTTGTTATGCAGGAACTTGGATTTGATTATCTTAGAAGCAGAGAGCAACTTGTTATGAGGTTACAAGCAAACTAAAATATTTAAACAGTTGTTCCCTTCTTTCTTTTCTTTCACCTTTT